AAAATTTTTTTTTTTTATAACTAACAGTTAAAATTTTTTTTTTTTATAACAATTTGTTATAATAACATGTAAGATATTTATATATAATATATTTAGTGCTACATATCTGGTTCAGGCATAATAAATGCAACATCAACATCACGCTCTGCTTTTGCTTTCTTTCTGATTAATCTGGTTAAGGATTTAATATTATATTTAATATTAAAAGAACGGTGTGCTTCTGTTCGTTATATTTTATATAAAATTTATTAATATTTTTTAAATTGTATTTTTAATCTTATATCAAATTAATATATTTTCAATAATTAAGCATTAAGTTTTTTTATTGTAACATAAAGTAGAAACGAACTTTTTGAAAATAGTGTTATCACAGTTATTTACTTTTTTCTTAAAATAATTTTAATGCAATTTAAATTACTTTTATTTATTTATATACTTTTAACACAACTATTTTTTGTGTTTTAAACTGACGTTTATTTGTCACCGCACAAAATTTGTTAAAATATTCACGATTGCCTTCATGGCTTTTTGTTTATATTTTTGAACGGACTAATTTATCAATTGTTAATTATTGTCAATTGTTAAAATAATTTCTTAAATTGTTTAAAAATGTATATTTTATAGCCGCTAATATTTTGACTATAGTCTATAGTCATCTTCAGGATACTGAAGATACGTAATACAGGATAATATAATATATAAGTTATATTTGGTAAAATTTCCCTTACAAACCTTCACTATTTTTTTTATTTTAAAATGATATAGGTAAGTAGATTTAAAACTTGTTCAAGCTTTAGTTTTAATTAATTGTTAATGACAGAATTAAAAATGTATCACAATAAAATTGTTGTTACATTTTTATTAGCTTACTAATTTTATTATCATTAAAAGGCATTTCGTTAGAATTGAAAACTTAATTGAACTTACTTAATAAAAGTATCACCCTATTAATTTCAAAATATATTTTTGACATTTCGTATTGTCAAATTCTTTATTTTGAAATTAAATATATAATCAATATTTTAAGTTAAAAGAATTGATAACGTCTTGGGAATGGAAATAGTTCTATAATATTTCTAGAGGTTGACTCTGATGTTGAGGTCGCGATTGTAAATTGTCTACCTCGTTTACATTCCTCTTCCAATCGTCCTCTGTAATGATCTGGTAGGAACTTGAATTAACTGAAACATTTGTGTTCTTCCAAATATTTCTTCCAACCATTTCAGTTATTTCCATCAAAATTGTGTTGTATTGAAAACTTACTGTCGGTATCTCCGAAAATTGCTAATGCATATGGGGCTATATATCTCGAAGACATATTACCATTTACTCGAACCCGAACCCGTTCTGAAATTTCGGTACACGGTTTTAACAGATTTGAAACTACGAACTTGTTGCGTTTAATTAAAACGCTCATCAGATTGTAGCTGCTTCTCAGTATTGGGGTGATCATTTACTCAGTGGGGTGTACATGATCTAACAACATCTTTAGTTTCTTTTGCATCCATTTTTATTGATTTTTAATTTGAATATGCGTTTGAAGTTGTACGTGCATTCAAGGGTTTATTTGCAAATTCTTACTAATGTCTGAATTTGGCGTCTTCGTTAGATGGTTTTTTAATAGTTTGTATGATCCTTTCTGCTGTCCGTTCGAAGATGGATAATGTGGTGCCGTTAGTATGTGTTTTAGTTCGTAATATTTTCAATATTTCCCGAACTCCACTAATAGAAATTTTTATCAATTAATGAATAACTTGATTGTTTTTATCGAGTTTTTTTTATATTACTGGTAACTGTACTCATAAAAATTCCTGCATAGTCGATATGCAAACGTGACCATTGCCTTAACGTTGCTGACTATGGTTTGCTCACTATCATAGGTGGATTTTTTTCTTATAACGTGTATATTCTTCACAACGTCTGGCTAACATTTTTATATCTCCGCCTACGTCAGACCATCAAAAACAGCTTTTTCTCATAGCCGCCTTCGTGTAATATATTAAATATTCTGGAATGTGGTTTCGTTAGTATAATTGCTTTGAAACCTCATAACAAGCATTGCAACTTTATTTAAAAATAGTTTAAACTGGTTTGAATTGTCCTGCAAATCTACATATTTTCTTGCTTTATATATGCCTCATTACTGTCGTAGTACTGGCTCTCTTCTAATTGCAGTAATCAAAAACTGTTGTTCACCCTTATCAACCTTATACAATATTTTAGATACTACTGGTATTTATAGCTTCAAATTATTTGAATGTAACGGGCCCAATGTATTTGCATTCAGTTATGCTTCCTTTTTCGAAATTTAAACTCGTACTGATAGGAACTTAACTTCATACACCACTTTAATATTGTGGGTGATACATATATGATATAAAATTAGCTATTACCATATTAAACACTTTAATAGTAAATATGGATTTAATAAGCGTAATAGCGGTGTATGCTCTATCAATACCATTTAAAGTTGTCTACAACATAAAAAATGGTAAAACTTTTGAACTCTGTAAGTTCGACGAGTAATATACTAACAGATTTCTGGATTGAAGTTTGCCCTTTTCTTCAATTTAAATGGCGTCGCATTTCTTAGTACAACATTTTTTATTTTGCCTTTATTTCGTAAGAATCTATCATAAAATGTTACTAAGCCAAGAAATGCTTGTATCTGGTGCATATTCACTGGTTTTAATGTCTGAGACATTGTTTTCAACTTTTTGTCTGTTTTGGTGCATTCCTGATTGATTTTTCTTAAATCTTAAAAATATTATTTTGTATTCTGTGGAAAAATGTTTTATTTTTTAGTTTTAATTCTGCATCCTATATACAGGATGCATATACAGAAGTTTTTCGAATTCTCTCCCATTGTCCCGCCAATCAGTATATCTAAATAAATAACTAAATATTTAAATAACACCATATACGATATTCAGAATTCCTTACATTACGTGTTGGTAAATGTTTGGTGCTGGCGAAATTTCTATAGGTAATCTAATCAATTTAAAGAATCCGCGATTTCCATTCAGTATTAGAATTCTAGGTAATTTTTGTTCAATTTTCACCTGCGTATAACCCGATCTAAACCCAACTTTGTGAACCACGTATAATTTGAAATTAATTTATTTGTAATGCTCCCAAACGAAACTTAGGTGAGTACTTCTTCACTTACATTGACTTCAAGTTGTTATTAAATAACTTGTTATGGAATCATTTTTCATTACCAGTGGTTCTTGGCATATTATAACCACTTTCTAAACCAATGGATTGTTTTGAATAGACATTGACAATAAATACTCAACTGTTTGAATTTCCTGATTTGTATCTAAAAGATTTGATCTGCTTGACTTTTTCTAACTACTACTGATCTGTCTGTTGATTTCCACGACATTGATAACAATTGCGAGAATGCATAAATATGTTTTACCTTATGCCATTTTTTTTGTGCTCTTTCAAAGACAATAGCTTTCTTCTGGCCTATTTTAAATGTTCACTTGTCATTCGTTAAAAGCAATTTCTAAAGATTGTCATCTCCCACACCTCAATCTCTAACCTCTTCCGTAACATTATATCTAAACCTTTAAAGTTACAATCTTGGTTAAACATTCGAAGCGCTGCTGGAAATTTTGTAATTGACTACTCCTACTCTTTCAGATCGCCATTTCACTCAATTTGCGATCTTAAAGTCAAATTGAATATATATTTGTTTACATTTCGCACGAGATCAATACATATAAATGAATACTCGTTTACCCTCCTTCAGCTGATTGCGATATATTTAAAATTTCAAAGTATTTTCATAAGTTACCACCAACCTCTATGCACATTTTGCAGTAATGTCTTTTAACAATAATTGAATTTCATTGTAAAGCAGCTATTGCAGTACTCTTTAACGATCTCATACACAATGCAACAAAACATTGTGTATGAAGTTACTGAAATCAACTACATTAAAAAATCATACAGTAAATTGGTTTGGCTCTTGTTCTGCAGAACAAATGCATTAGTGCAGAAGATTGACACCAATTAACATCTTTCATCTATTTACGCCCCAGGTTCGCCTATTGCTTAGAGAAAGATTATAGTTTATAAAAATACTAACATTATTACAACAATGACATCTGTATAGTTTTGATATTTGATACGAGTAATCAGAGAAGCGGTGGTGGCATCCCACAATTTTTCTCCAACCCAACAGATTTATATTTACACAAAGAGAGCTCTTTGTGAACTCTTTAAAATAATTTACTTCGACACATTGTTGAATGGTCCACTAATATCTAGGAATACATCTAGACCATACTTCGTTTGCTCTGGGGATTTTTTTATATTACCTTATGAATGAAATGCAATGTATTAATCAGTGCTACATAGGTGGATAACAAAATAGCTTATCATACGGAATATTTATTGTGCTCCATTGTCTCTGGTGTGTCACTCCGATACACCTTTAGAATATCGTCTTACAGACTATATCTGTACATAGCAATAATACCACTGTTCGATTTATTCAATTTATGCATTTGTTCAACTGTTCCGCTTCTCTCTTTCTATCAAAGCAGCACTTGGGTGTCTTAATCTCTTTATTCGAATTTTCCTATCCTTATGGAAGAAATTTGCTATTATAACTAGACAATGTCGATTGAGACATCAGAATTTCTCAACAGTTTAGTGTGTCCTAACAAAATGGAAGCAAACTAATACACATACACTAAATAGTTTACCAAGAACAATATAATATGACAACCTTGCCGATGATGCAAAACTAATACATTATTGCATTAATTTAATCACCTTTAATCAAAATCGAATCGTAACAAATATTTATTTATATATTTCATAATAATTTGAATATCAATTAAATGATAGTCGAAATAGTGGTTTGCAACAATAATAATAACAACTGAATTAAGTCAAATAATGAACGCCAATAAGACATAAATTTATGCTTTAATGTAAGCACAAATTACAAATTCTATATTAACAATTTTTTTTTATTCTAGGTTCTTGCGTTGAAAGTATTTCACAAGATAAACCATTGTGTGAAGACACTAAAACTGCGTCTAATTGTGTTCAACAGAAACTTCCACCATATATTGAATCCATGCCAGTGCCGGATATCGAACCGTTGCAACAAAATGAAGAACATTGTACCCCAATAATTCCAACTCCAGAGAATGATAAAAACATTTTAATGGAAAATGTAACACTTGATGTAGAAAATAATATTAACAGTTGTATCAGCGATACAGATAACGTTTATTCATCAGAAGAATCAAAAGAATCGAAAAAAACTGAAGGAAATGTTTCATATTACAATTCACTAGAATCAAACCAAGTGACTTTTGAAGATATCGAAAAAGCTTCAGATTTAAGCACAAACTTACATAATAAACATTTGAAGAAGACTTCGTCAGCTTTGCCCGTACAAACAGCTATATTAGAAACAGAAATATTAGTAAACAGTGGGGATGTTACTGAACGTGAAACTTACACACAACTAAATAAATTGGTTGATTTGGATGTCACAAAGGAAGACGCTCAAAATAATAACAATGTGACAACCGAACTTTCCGCTACAGTCGTTAAAACAGATACAGAACATATTAATAATGAAGGTGTTTTAAAAGATGAAACAGATCGTTCACATACCACAAAAGTTTCGTACATACCTTCTGATCTTAAAAACCCCACTAAAAATGAAAAAATTGAAGAAAATATTTCTTCATCAAATAAAACCATTTCAATTAAAGACCAAGAATTATCACCGTTAACAACACCAATAATACCAATAACAAAAGTAACAACAACTGACATTGAGGACACAAAGACATCAAAAGATATTGTTCCTACTCAATTAAACTTTTCAAACCAACTACTCATCAATTATAATGAGGGGCAATGGTCTCCTACTAATCCAACCGGAAAGAAACGATATGATCGTGAGCAATTATTACTTTTACGTGATGCAAATGCATCTCGTATACAACCAGTAGTCCACAACACGGCTATACTACCTCAAACGAATCTAATGATGCCATCATTTATGCGTAATAACAATAAGCGTGTTCAATCGATGGTTGGATCAATAGGTGGTACCAATCGAGGCAGCGACATTAGTGTTGGTGGTGGCAATTACGGAAATAAGCAGGCGTCAATGTCTGGCGTTCATACTAGAAACAGCATGAAAGGTATGATTCACATAAATCTATCACTAAACCAAGATGTAAAATTAAACGAAACTGATAATGCTTGGCGACCTAGTGCGTTAAATAAAAGTAATAGTGGTGAAAATGATCCCGCAGCAAAAGTACAACGCGAGAAAGAAGATCTTGTACGCCGTGTGCGTGGTATTTTGAATAAACTAACTCCAGAAAAATTTGATGCTCTAGTGGAGGAAATAATTAAATTAAAAATAGACACGCCTGACAAAATGGAAGATGTTATGATACTCGTATTTGAAAAAGCGATAGATGAACCAAATTTTTCTGTATCTTATGCACGTTTATGTTATAGTTTAATAAGTGAAGTAAAAGCACGTGAAAATAGAATGGAAAGCGGTACAAAATCCAATTTAGCTCATTTCCGCAATGCATTGATAGATAAAACAGAACGGGAATTTACTACAAATGTAATACAAAGTGCAGCTAAAGAGGAAAAATTACAACCAATTATTGAAAAAATTAAAAAATGTAATGATCCTAATGAGAAAGCAGAGCTTGAAGCCTATTTGGAAGAAGAGGAGAGAAAAATTCGCCGTAGATCTGGTGGTACTGTACGTTTTATAGGAGAACTTTTTAAAATTTCTATGCTAACAGGCAAAATTATAAACCATTGCATAGAACAGTTATTAAGACCCAATTCCGAAGACTTGCTTGAATGTTTATGTAAATTGCTAACAACTGTTGGTGCAAAATTTGAACAGTCAGTGATTCATAAAGATTCTTCCATATGTTTTTCTCTAGAAAAAAAAATTGCTCGAATGCAGGCAATAGCAAATAAAACAGACAAAGATAATCCAAAAGTAAGTTCTCGTGTTCGTTTTATGTTACAAGATGTAATAGATTTACGTGCAAATAAATGGCAATCTAAACGTAATGAGGCACCAAAAACAATGGATCAAATTGTGAAAGAAGCAAAGACAGAACAATTATCATCATATTTGAATTATAGTACAACAATGCCTGCACCAGCAGGTAGTAATTCAAATGCTACATCCTCTCAATCTGGAAATAAACGTGATGACCGTAGCATTCGATATAACGATTCTCGTTCATCTGGTAATGGTTCTAGCCATAGTCAGCGAGGCGATGTTAATAGTTTACGCCGACAACAAATTAGTGGTAATGTTTTAAGTAATAGCAATATTATCAGTGGTCATAATAATAGTAACGACGACAATACGTGGCATGTCCAAACTAGCCGAGGTAGTCGATCTTTAGCTGTTGATACAAACAAATTGGAAGGTATGGTGGTAAGTATAATAAAATTCTTAAAACCAAAAAATTCATTTCTCCTACTATTCAATCAAAAATACATTATTTTTTCAGTACTTTTAGTATTTTCAAAGTGATATAGCATTCATTAAACCCACATAATCGTGGTATTTAATATGTATAATTAAAAATTAATTCTTCTGCATTCAATATTTTATGAATATTATAAACTAAAGAAATTATGAAATACTATTCGCGGAATTCTAAAAATTAAATAAATATATTTTTTTGCATTCAGTTAAATCAGGATATTGATATTGGTAAAAAAAAAATGGGCGGCTTATCTCAATTCATATGGAACAATGATAATTCAAGACAATCTTCAACCCCACATACAAATGCAACAAATTCATTTGCCGTACTTTCCTCGTTAGTTGATACGACTAAAGGCAGTGATCGAGGCAACGATAGGGACAGAGACAGAAGTGGTCCACGTAATAAAGGTTCCTACAACAAAAGCTCAATGGAGCGTGATAGATGCGTAGATCGAGGTATTTGTTAAGGTATTTGCAATTAAAGTTTGAACTAAGACTGTTTTATAGGTTTACACTCACGGTCTGGTTCATCTCAACCATCTCGAGAAAACTCATCATCCCGCAGTTCGCAAAGTATGCGTGGTATGAGTAACTCATCATCTGTACAAAAATCTACTAGTCATTCAAAATTCCAACAACCGTTATCGACCCCCCGGACTTCTGGAAAGGTATGAGTAAAAACGATTGCTGAATCTTGTTTTAATTTTTTATACATTTTATGTTAACTTCTTATTTTTTGAAAACAGCTTAATTCATCAAATTCCACTAATTCTTTTCAACAAAATCGTATGGAGCAGCAAAATTCCTCATTTTCCGTACAAAATTCGAAAATGAATGTAAGTAATCTACCACCCTCTGCAGCACCTTCAGCAGTTTTCGAAGAACCTAACAACAGTGATTTGAAAATTATAAAAGCAGTAGCTTCAGAAATGGTTGAAAATGTAGTGAACACAAATTCGATTGATATATCTACTGTCTCCAGTATAACTAAAGTAAGAGATAACCAACGGTGCGGTTTCCTTTACTATATATTTACTGATTATTTACATTTACGCGATGTCGGTCATTCGCAAAGACGCCATTTAGCGAATATTGTTGCATTTCTGATAAAACATAACTTTTTATCGTTGGAACACTTTTATTTAGCTTACAAAAATTTCTGTCTTCAAGCTGCCGATCTAATTGTTGATGTGCCTGAGTTATGGTTATATATATTTGAGTTCTCAGGTAACGCTACATAATATTTAATTTATAATATAAAATTCACAACGTATGCTATATGCTATTTTAAGGTCCTTTGATAATAAAAAAGATTTTAACTATAAATGATTTATGGACAAAAGAACTTAGAGAAGACAGTTCGCCAACGTTAGGACAAAAATTTCTCAAGACATATTTAATTTATTGTACACATGAAATAGGCCCAAGCTTTACGCGCTGTATGTGGCAAGATTATAATATGAAGTGGACCGACTTTTTATCAGAGCCTGATGTTGAAGATTTTATTAAATCAAATGTAAGTAATTCTTTTAGTCTATACTATGACTGAAATTGTGCAAACTACATATATATATAAAACCGGTCTCAAACACGAATATATATATTTATTTCTATACTAGTCGTTTGAATATGTTACGAATGAGAACATTCAGCATAAAATAATTATTAAAGATACTAAGGACAAACATATCAACCGAGTATTGGATCATGTTGATTATTTGTTACAAGATGGTTCTAATGCGGACAATGTAATTGATTATATAAATGTAAGATAACAAATGAATTTAAATATTATAATTGATTAATTTTAAAATTAATTTTTTTTAAGGGAAACATAATTGATATTGACAAACAATTTATTAGAAGTTTAACAACAACTGTGTGCAAATTTGCTATTGCTTACAATGATTACAGCTACAAACTTGAAATTATCAAATTTCAAAAAATATGTATACCTGTCTTAAATCGTTATACTGATTCGAAAGAAGAACGTGAGCTTGAATGTCTTTACGCAATGCAACTATTGGTTCACAGTTTAGAGCATCCAAGAGGTAGAGAATAATATATAAAATAGAAATTGTGTATATATAAAAGATTTAATTTTACTGTACATACTGTTAAAAATATCTACAAATTTTACCGACTTTATTTTTGGAAATTCTGAAAATATATTTTAATTCTTTTTAGACCTCTTAAGTGAACTTTACGGAGAACTATATGATGCTGACGTTATACCGTATGACTCATTTATAAAGTGGCGAGATTCTAAAGATCAATCTGCTGGCAAGGGTAAATATTTTTTAATCATATACATAATACTATTCAATATGATTCCATATATATAAAGATTAATAATGAATTTCTCTTTATTATACAAAAATAATAATAATTACATCATAATATTGCAAATAGTAACTCTTAAATTATAATTATTTCATTTCAGGTGTTGCAGTAAAAGCATTAAACCGTTTTTTTACTGACATACATTCATGCATAGGGGAAACTAGCGATGAAAATAATTAGTTTCGGCAAGACAATTTACTTCTATGCTATTGACTAAGACTTTAAATAAAAAATGTTGTATGAATATTTAAATTGGCTTTAATTGTATTCAAAGCAATTGTTGATTTTTATAGATATATGTCTTATTTTTTTTTTTCTTTTTGTTTTTGTTGTTAAGCGAAGATTACGAAATAACAATATCATTAACTGAAACAGTAATAATCCGTAATAGTGTCCAGATATGTTATCAGCTTAATGAATATTACATTAATAATTATCATAGATTTTGAAATAAGTGTCATTACGAAAAAAATGCCGAACAATATTTTGAAGCTATAACTGCATAATAATGGAAATTTATTATATCTCTAAGAGATAAACAGTGTATTTGCGAATAAATATATTAAGTAAGTAGTTATTGTAAATAAAAGTTTAACAACATTTTTTTAATACACTCAAACTGAAATGAAAATGTTAATTTTATTTTTCTTTATTGTTATAAAACAAAGGTCTTAGTACTAAGGTACTTTATTTTTATATCGAAAGAGTTCGCAAACAATTAAATAAAAAACATGTGTCTCAACATTTAAAATTGTTAAAATTTTTCAACTTTAAAAATGTTTTTCCAAAACTAATATAACGGTTTTAGACTATTGTTAAAAAATGTCAGCATTAATTTTTTTGACATACTTATTGAGTTAAATGTAATTGTATGCTATAGTAATGTAAACATTTTCGGCGGTTATTAAGGTTTGTTGCTACTTTAAGGTATTTTAAGTTGAAAGTTTTAAGAGAATGTAGTTAAGATCAATAAATACCTATAATAGCTTTATTTTGTCGATTGTGTTCGCCATGCTATTAAGGGGGTTGGTTTTCACTTTTAATAGAGATACAGAGTATCAAAGGCAGCTTTGTCCCAAAAAGAGCTTACAGTCAAAAATCAATACAAATTTTTTTTTACTCATTTTTATTATATTAATACATTATTATCTATACTGATCATTTTTCCAATGTGATGTAACATATAGCTTTTGCAAAATCATACATTTTTTTAATATAATTTCTAATTAAATTCGTTTCTTATTCATATTACTATTATTGGTAAAACCATAATATGTTATAAGAATATCAATAAATAATATTCTTATTGGTAATACAACGTACTTACTTATTTGGCCATATTAATAAGCACTCCTCTTCAGGTACCTACCTCTACTGTGTACGCGCCTTCTCCAGTCTCGTACATCAAGCGTAGTTAGTGCTTTCTCAATTTGATCACTCTGCCTGTAACACGTCAATCTCTACGTCGTTTTCTTCCAACTGCCACTATAAACTGAATAATAACTACTTGTGGCGGAATTTTTACATACCTATAACAAACACTAGTTTGTATTATTGACAATTTATTTCCTAAGCAATATATACATATGTAAACATTGAAGCGTCAATTATTCAACCACTCCGCCTTGAGGAAGAAGTCAAAAAACTTCGGAGCATCGGGAAAACTAAACGACAAATATTAAATCTTATAACATTCTGTTTTAAATTTAAATATTTTGTTCATCAAGGCCTATATAAATTTTATAAAAATTTTTTTTTTTGTGTTTATAAAAAAATAAAATTAAAAAATTCTTTTTAAAATTTATGAGGTCAGAGTTATGGGTACTATTACAAAGGTGGAAGACAAGTACATGTCAGTTTTTATAAGCTTTTTTTGCTTCATCAAATGAATCTCTGAATTATAGGTGTTCGTTACTTTCTTTTTTGTGTCTTCTCGAAAAGTTCTACTGAAATAAAAATTCTTCCTCTATTCTCGATTCAGTCAATTCTCTTCCATCGACTAAAATATTCTATTAGACTTCCATAGACTAAAATATCAATTTTTTTTCGCGATTACATTATAACTTGGGTATAAAACAATTATTTTCTTTTGACTTTTATCTTTATTTGTTTTATTGATATTTTGTTAACATTTAATCCAAAAATAGAGCTAATGCTTTGATGAATTTCGTGTTTCTTATGCAGTGATGAAATGTTAACGACGATTGTCTTCACACTTACTGGACTTGCAATGAGTACTTTTTCAATGATTTCAACTTCTTTTTTTAGCTCCTAAGTTTATGAAGAAACTAGTTTATGCTACTATTGTATAGTATTGAGCTTTTATCTTCAAACCATCACTGCATGCATTCAAGATATTGTTAGATAGTTCTAACTGACGGTTATAGAAAATCAGAGGTATGTTTGTTGTGAGAGAGCTCTAAATTTCATTTCACAATGTCTCGGATTTTGTGGGTAATTTTGCTTTATTGAACTTAACATCATTTAGTCTCCTATTATAGTTTTTGACTCGTTTTTACTCGAATATTTTTAATTGATCGAGTATTGATCGACTAAAATGGTTTTTGTTTTACACTTGTTGAAACAAATATTTGAAAATGATCAAATTGAAGTAAAATTTTATACAGTATTCCAATGCACGATTCCTTATCTAATATATACTTAGTATACCTGCTATTTTATTTTTTTGCTTTATTTTCAATTAACGAAGCAAAAGTTCCAACGCAAATTTATTGGTATAATAATTTATTATATTTACTGTATTACTTTCACTACATTTATTATAATACAGGAAGGCACATAAATAATATTAGTTTATGCAAAAAGGCACTCAACTGTCAATATACCTGCTTTTACCTTTTTTACTTTACCTAGTTATTGTGAAACTTGTTTTTCAAAGATATGTATCTTAAATCAAATTGGTGACTAAGAAGTTAAGTTATCAACGAAAACTTTTTTAATAGTCTTTCTTACAATTGCATTAATTAATATATGTTTTCATTATATATTAAATTTATTTGACTGAAAGATTAAAAAATCAATTTATTTTAAACGTTTTATAATATTTAGATGCATACTCATATGAGTTATTTGATTTTTGGAATCAAATTCTAATATACAGCCAAACTTCCATAACTCGAACCAAAAAGGAGTGCAACAGGGTTTTAGAGAGGAAGTTATATGTAATTCTGCTTCTCTCTCTCCATAATTCGAACTTCTGTAACTCGAATAAGAATATTGTCACATGTCAATAGGAATGTGGGAAAGTACAATCCATTTTTTTGTTTTACGTATGAATCCATTTTGGTGTTAGGGGAAGTCCCTTAAAGTAAATAAAATAACTTCCCATGCTTCTCTTAACGATTATATTAAGCTCGACAATAAAATTTGCACATCAAATTTTCCTATAGATGACGATATTATTGAGCATTTTAATATGATAATGAGGGTTCTGTGGATGTAATTGTTTATCAGCCTTTCAAGAATGAAGTAGAAGACTCATTCAAAATTCTAAATTTATATTTTCAAACGAATGATAATACAACTTATGATTACTATAAGAGTATGAATAAAGTAGAATCTTTTTTTACTGAAAATAATAACAAAAAAAATAAAATCCCAACTTCTGAATGTTTCACTTCTCTATAACTTTTGTGCTGTATAAATATCTTATACATATCATGAAAAAATATCGTAAAATGTAATTCTTTCAAAAATAAAAAAAAACCTCTTTAACTCGAAGTATCCATAAGTCGAACCTTTTATTTGCAAAATGATACTTCGAGTTATAATATTTCTTAGGTTGCACAAGACGTAAATTTTTTTAAATTAAAAAACAATTTTTCGAAAATTGTTCTGAAGTATGTCATCATTAACAAAATTGATAAAAAAATTCAATTTTTTCAAATCGGAAAAATACTCAACTTTGCAATATTCAATCTAATCATTTGTTTAATTGGAGTATATTGGAGTATTTATGAAAGGGCACAGTGCCTTGAGATTGATGAAATCAAATCTGAAATTGCTGAAAATTTTAAAATGAAACCATTTTTCAATATAACAAACAAAATAGTCATATAGCAAAAAATTAAAAAAGGTGAAATACAGCCACATAAAATCTTATTGCGCACTATGTAGCGTATGCATCTTTTGTGGTTCTGGACTCTTCGACAAACTGTCCGTCAAAAAAAACAAGGCACAAAAATCAAAAAAATAACTCTGAAGATAACCATACGCCTACAGTACTATAAGTCTTTCCAGCATATACTGAGTTAGAAGTGATAGTGGAAATTTTACAGAATTCGTCTGCTTCCCATAGCATTCGCACCAGTTCTACTACGTCACACAATTTACCGATGCGATGAAACGGCAAACTCAACCCTCAGATAATGCATATGCGAATGTTCTTAGAGGCAATAGTCTACTTAGTTGAGATTAGATTAGATTTAAAAACGGGTTAGGAACTTGTCACCAAGTCATTGCATCTTTTAAGGATTATTGTGGCATACCTACTTTAGTTCAATAGACGAGAAGCAATTAAAAGCACTGAGTGGATAGGCAGTTGATAAGTACCGAAGTCTGAATCTGGCGAGACTATTACAGTCACACAGAATGTGTTCGTTCTGCTGTTTCCTCTTTTTCGTAAAAAAGTCTGCAGCTATCGTCTCTTGTAATACTTAGCTGTGTCCTGGTATCCACATGAAATGAACCCTGTTCCTTTCAGCAAGGTCTTTGAGAAGTTGAAGGCTATCCCACAAGTATGTTTTAGCACTTGATTGGTTTCCCTTCATATTCCTTTAGACATAGTTCAATTGCGTGTACTTCGGCCTGAAAAACTAAGTTTTCTTGACATATATTCGCAGATATTTCATCTTTTTTTAACCCCATATACTCCCACCGCTACTCCTTGCATCGTTTTGGAGCCATCCGTGTACCACAGATCATAGTCTTCAACGAATGAAGGTATGTTCCGTTTCCAGTCATTCCTGTCTGGTACTAATTACCAGCAACTTTTGGTGGAAGTTAAATTTAGTTGAGCAAATGTCAGATATGGTGATATTTAGACCTTCCGTTCTTTGTATTTCCATACCTAAAAGGGAGTTATCGAGTGATCTTGTTGACTGTCAACTGTAGCTTGGCTATAAAAATGCATTGCTTTCTTTTTAACAAGTAGTAGTGCTGTCGGAGTGGTTTTCATCGCTCAACTTATCATTATGCAGGCTATTCTCTGTAGCTTTCGTGAATTATCTATT